AAAAATTTTAAAAGTTTGAATTCGCGCGCTTTTACTCACCGGGCGGCCTAGAAAAAACCTCGTCCCTAAGGGCTTTCAGCGTATTTTTCGATGCGTTTTTCTCGATGAAGGAATTTTTTTCGAATTTTTTCTTTATTTTCATGTCAATCTACATGAATTTCTGCACATTTTGATGCAATAAAAAAAAAACACCACCTTTAATTTAAGTATTCCTCACAATCAACAGATGGAAAGTTAACTACAAGAAATTTACTACAGCACTACAAAAATACAATTTTCAAGAAGAGAGTGCAGACAAGCAGACTCTCTAGCTGTCTGCGTCTCTTACCAAAACTTGGCCGAGCTGTATCTCAGCTCCTAGGAGGGCTAGAAAGTCAATTTTTGGACACAAATGACATATTTTTGTGAGTAAAACGATTAATTGGTAATCTTTGAATTTTTGGATCATTAGCAAAATAAAAAAGTGTAATAGAGCAAAATTCGGATCTTTATGAGTACCGTAAAACCTGTAATAGAAGGATTCCCTAATTTTTAACTTCAATCCAATTCATCTCGATTCCTGTCAAATATATAAAAATGTTATCAACTGATAAATTGTTCAGCATAATATCAGGTGTGTTTTGTTAGTTGATCACTTTTTGATATCTTTCAAAGGAAATGAGAAATATGGGCCTAAATTTGACGGTATCGAAAATTCGGATGCCAATTTTGTTTAAAAGCGGAAACCTATTTTTTTAGACAACTAGCCGAAAATTTTATAGCACAATAGTGAAACTAATCTCTCCAAAATAACACGATATGATATTTCTAGATTCTAAAAAAGGGGTTCGATTCAATTGAACACTCCGAACAATCAAAAAAGGATTAAACCAGCTACAGTAAACCAACTAAGCCAACCGCAGAAAACTAGTGAAAGTAATACCTCTTTGAACAGGGGAAAGTGTAAGTTAATAAACACATAAATGGTATCTGTGTATGTTTATCCCCACTCGATTTGTTGTCTCTCTCTCTCTCTCTCTCTCTCTCTCTCTCTCTATCTATCTATCTATCTATCTATCTCGTCTCGTTAATTGGATTACTACCATAAACGAAAACGATTGGGATGAATAAAAAAAAAGAGAGAAAAGAGAAGAGACAGTATGCCATTTAAGCAATACAAGGGGAGAAACATGATACATTGTTTCCTTTAGAGAAAATAGTGGATGATGGTGTCATCGATCCGGTTAAAAAGAGAGATGAAGAGAAGAACACGCGCGAACTTTTTATGAGACTTTTAGATACAGAAGAGAGACATATATACATATACATATTGTGTAACGATTATATAATCAAGGTATTTTCTAGAATGACGGGGTTAGAAAGGGATTTATTATAGGGCCGTTATCATAGGAGTATAAAGTTAGGGTAGTTTAAAGGCGCATACCTCAAAAACTACGGTACATTGGAAAAAGAAGTCAACTTCAAAAACAAAGAACTCCTTTTGAACTTCAATTTTGTAGTTGAGTTGCCTGGTGCATCTACCCTCCAACCCCTTCTAAAGGTTCCCTCTAACCACGCAACGACACTCCGCTATCCCGCTCGGCGCGCACACAATTTGAATTTAGTTTTGAGTGATTGCGAGCTTGGATTTGGCTCGTAGTTTTTGAGAGACTCTTTTAAGGATTTTAAGTGAGTTTGCTTGAATTCTAAGCTTGTATTGATTGTTTCTTTCTAACTTCTTCATAATAAACCGATTTTGTTACATTTCTTGTTGATTTTCTTCTATTTTATCACAGAAACCTGATACCCCGGACATACCGCGGGCAATTGTTGACAACTTTTTCATAACAACAGTCATTTTTGAGATATGCGCTTTTAAAGGTCGCGTGCTTTTTGACGCCCAAGAGGAGAGGAGCAGAGAGTGTTCCAACTTTAAAAACGCATAACTCATTAACCAGAAAAGCTAATAAAAACTGTCAATTACAAAAACAAATCATTCTTTTTGAGCTTTACTTTTGTAGTTGACAATTTTTTGATAGCCATAGTGATTTT